CCCTTCACTCTTCCTTTGTCTAACTATCATCCCTTCTCTTGCTTTTCCTCAACACCGCCCCTCTCCCTTTTATCTCCATGCCCCTCTAGTGTCTTATCTCCTCCCCCTCCCTCTCTCCCTCTCTCTCTCTATCTCTCTCTCTCTCTCTCTCTCTCTCTCTCTTTCTCTCTCTCTCTCTCTCATGAGAGTCAAATGCGTGACAGTAACTCTCTCTCATTGAAGAGTCGTTAAAAGATAATTATCCTGACGATTAAGAACGTCAATACTGTTTTGTCAGGGCCAATCATGTATGACGATAATAGAAAATAATAATAATCATATAATGATAATAATAATGATAATATAATATTTAAAATATTCATCGTGGTCATGATCAAAATTTATTGTTGTAGGTTCATGTCAATTATTTTTAGTACCCCTCATAAATATTTAAGGAAGAAATACTTGTGATACTAATACTAATGAGGGTAATAATAAAAGTTGTTGTTGTTGTTCTCTCTCTCTCTTTTTTTTTCTTCTTCTTCTTCTTCTTCTTTTTCTTCTTCTTCTTCTTCTTCTTCTTCTTCTTCTTCTTCTTCTTCTTCTTCTTCATTTTGTATCTAAATTTAAAAAAAATACAAATTATTATTTATGCTGGAGGGTCAGACAGATTTTCCCCATGATTGTGCAAGGATTTGTCGCACGTTGGTGGTGGGCCTGTGCTCAGATTGTCCTCTGTTCTGTCTGATAAACAGAACACACACAAACTCATAGTCTCCTCCCCGGTGATTCCCCCCCTAGTGTCTGGCTTGATGCTTTGGGGGGGGGGGGGGGGGGTGCAGACACGACTTTCTCCGTCCGTCCGTCCTCAGACTGTGAGGGTGTTCTTCTCTCTCGTGTCTCGGTCTCACGTGTCGTGGGAGATGGAGAGGGGTGGGGGGAGGGAAAAAGGAGAGGCGGTGGGGTAGAGGTCGTCGGGTCGTACGGTTACGACCGACACTCGTCTGTCGTCGTTGTGGTTCGGGCAAGTCGCATGTCGTGATGCGTGGAAACTGGAAGGGGGGACGGGGACGGAAACCCAAGTCAACCCACACTCACCACACACACACAGTCAGACAGACCCAACATGTTTTAATATGTTTTTCTATTTAAAAAAAAAAACCGGACCCAAAATCATAAAGTCCAAACAACAATGCAATTTAAAACAAAGAGATGGGAGGTGTAAAGGGGGGAAGGGAGGAAGGGAGGTCCGTGCGGTCCGGCTGTGGGTATTTTGGGGCGTTCGTTCCTTTTTTTCTTTCTCTCTCTCTCTCT